GGGGGGGTCGGTCACAGGGCGGCCACGGGGGAAGGTGAGCTGCACTGACCTTTCTCCCAACTGGAAAGGTGCTGCTGGGCAGTGCTGGGAACGAGGGGCCTGAAAAGGGCATGCATGTCCGAGGCACCTCTCCTTCCCCACCTCCCAGGACTGGTGACACTGGAGGAAACAGATGGGGAACTGCAGGGCCCACACCCTGCCCTCCCCTCCTCCCTTCCCCCTCCTCCGTCCACGCAGGAGTGCGCGTGTTTGGCTGTGGGTGGGGTCAGGATGGAAGGGGGTGCAGGTAGCCTGGGTCCCCAGGGAATGGGCTGTTTGGATCTGTGCCCCACACTGGAGGCCGGCTGTGTCCCTGTCTTGTCAGATGGGCGACAGGAGGCTCCAGAGGCCGTGTCCGGGCTGTGAGATGCCATAGGTCTGCAGAGCTGCCGGATGTGGACCGCAGTGATGGCCCAGCAGCTTGCCTTAGTTCTCGATGTCCCTGAGACCCCAGGGGACCAGGAGTAAGTGCTCTGAGGCTGGCAGCTGGCCGGCTGGGTTGGACCAGCCTGTCTGGACCTTCTGGAAGGGGGTGGCTGCTGGGACCAGGGCTGTGCCTGAATTCCCATGCCTGCTCCTCCTGACCGCCCAGCAGCCTGGAGCTCAGCCCCTACGAGGAGAGTGAGGTACACGACTCCTTCCATCAGCTCATTCAGGAGCAGAGCCGGTGGGTGGCTGAGGAGGGCCTGGAGCTGCAGCAGGTGGCCGGAGACTTGGGAGCCCCAGGTGAGCAGCGGACGGGACCAGTGATGTCCCTTCAGGGGTCTGTGGGCCTGGGGCGGGGGGGAGGGGAGGCTGGGTAATGGCATCTCCTTCCTTCCCAGCCAGTGGTCACCAGACCCTCCTGGAGCCCGAGGGTGGCCCTGTCTACAGCACGGCCACTCTCAGCATCCTGGCCAGCATGCCCAGTCGCACCATTGGTGAGTGGACCCTCTGCCCTCATGCTGGCCTCCACCTCAGCCCTCAGTTGGCCTGGGGTTTCATCTGGGTGTCCAGCTCTGGCCGAGCGCAGCCCTGTGCTGGTTTCTAAAATCGACTCAAGTCATCACCCTGGGAGTAAAAATAGGTTCCTGGGAGTGTGGGAGAGCCCGAGGGCCTGGGTGGGCCCGAGGCTGGGGACGCTGGGTGCCCAGAATACCTGCCTGGCTCTGCCACCTGCAACCTGCCCTCCCAGGCCGCAGCCGAGGGGCCATCATCTCGAAGTACTACAACCACACCGTCCGCCTGCGGCGGCGGCACAGCGGCAGCCGGCCCATCCTCGGGCCTGTGGTGTGCTCTGCCCGGCCCAGCCTCCGCCTGTACGACCTGGAGCTGGACCCTGCAGACCTGGAGGAAGAGGGTGAGTGAGCCAGCCTCAGGCTGGGCACAGCCTGTGAGGGGTGCGCTGGGGCACAGGTGAAGCTGGCAGGGTGGCAGCAGGGTGTGGCCGAGCCAGGAAGCCCCTCTTTCTGCTGCTGGAAGGTGGGGTCTTGAGGCCTGCAAAGGGCTGCCCCATGCCAGGTGTACGCAGCAGGGTTGATGTACTTTTTCCTTGGACATTCTTGAGCATTGGCATGTGGTCCACACTGGGCAGGGCTTCGGCATGCCATGGTGGTCCGAAGACCTGCAGTTCTCACGTAGCTTACTGCACCTGTGAGACAGACATGAGCCAGATGAACACACAGTTAGATGGTTACAGCTCAGATAAAGGCAGCCAGGAAAGAGACCCTTCGAGAGAGCCTCCCGAGAACCAGTCTAGCCCATTGGGCTCCAGGAGGGAATGACTAGAGCAGAGGGAGCATGTGCAAGGGCCCTGAGGCAGCCGGTGCCAGGCTTGTCTGAGTAGCTCAGAAGCCACTGTGGAGGGTCTGGGGAACAGGGGAGACTCAAGGGCCCCTGCTGGTGGTGTCAGGGCAGTGCATGGTGATGTGGGTTTTGAAGTTAGAGTAAAAGTTCCAGTTTCCCTGTTTACTTTTCTATCCCGGGTGGGCCATGTTGCAGCTTCTTGAGGGTCATTTCTCATCTGTAAAATTGGGATTAAAGTAGCCCCCACCTCCAGGCTGGTTATAGAGACAAAAGAAAGCACCTCTCCATGCTTCTGGCCCCTGTGGCTGCAAGGGTGGCAGTGGTCAGGAGGAGCAGCTGTGCCGACTGCCCCTGTGTGGCCTTGTCTGAGTGCCTGGCCTGCTGTGGACCTCACTCTTCTGGGTCCTGGTACTTGGACTGTTGAGGTCCCAGGGTGCCCTCCTTGGGCCTTCTGAGCGCCTGGGCTGGGCCTTGCCCTCCTGCACTCCCTGGAGCAGAGCGGGGAGTGGTGGTTTTCACAGGGCACCTGCTAGAGAAGGGAGAGGGCTCCGGGGCTCGGCAGTTGCAGGTGGTGGAGGATGGGCCACTGGCCAGACTAGGGTATGATCTGTGGGCAGCTCCAGCATGGCCTGGGTGCTGGCCTCTGTTTGGCTTCAGTGGGATGGGCAGGGAGAAGCCTGCTGGGCCCTACCCAGGCCTGGCGGGCATCAGAAGGGACAGGGTGTCTGGTTGGGGGCTGGGAGAGAGGGATGCTGGGTATCGCTGGGGTCGCCTGACATCCTCCCTCTTGCAGAGAAGTGGAGCCTCCTGGTGAAGGAGCTCCAGGGCCTGCCAGTGGCCCAGCGGGACCACATGCTCCGGGGGATGCCCTTGAGCCTACAGGAGAAGCGCGTCCTGCGGTGAGTGCCCTGTGGCTTCCTGCACCTGACACCTACTTCCTGGGCTGCTCTGGGCGGCCAGGGAGAAGGGTCCCAAGTCTTTAGGTGGGTGGCCTTGGGAGGTCGCCGGGACCCTCCCTGGCCAGGCACCGAGGGCTGCCTCTGTTCCCAGAGAGAAGAGCCGGACTCCGAGGGGGAAGCAGAGGGGCCGCCAGGGCCATGGTGGGGTCTTCTGCTGCAGCCAGCTCCGATACACCTGTGTCCTGGTAGGAGCTGGCTGGGAGGCTAGGTGTGGCGGGGTGGCTGTCAGTCTCGCTGCAGCTGCCTTCAGGGCCTCCCACCACTGTCCCCACAGGCCCTACACAGCCTGGGGCTGGTGCTGCTCACCTGCCTGCATGCCTTGAGGCCTTGGCGCTATGCCCTGAAGCAAATCGGAGGCCAGTTTGGCTCCAGCGTGCTCTCCTACTTCCTCTTCCTCAAGACCCTGCTGGCCTTCAACATGCTGCTACTGCTGCCACTGGTGGCCTTCCTGGTGGCCGTGCAGGCTGCCTTCACACCTGAGGCGCACCCTGCCCCGACCTGCACAGGGCTGGAGCTCCTCACAGGCGGGGTGAGGGGTCCCGCGGGCCACCATCCGCTGCTGCCTTGGCTCTTCTGCCCTGCTTGTCACACTCCCCAGGGCTCCCCACTCTGCCACCACTGTAACTCTAGGGGCTCCAGCCAGCTCCCTCTTTTCCAGTTGTCTGCTGCCCTTACCTGTTCCCAGGTGCCCCTGTGGGGTGGGAGGGCCCAGCCCCCAGCCCCCAGCCCCCAGCCCCCAGCCCCTGACCCGGCCTGGCCTCCTCACAGGGCTGCTTCACCCACACCGTCATGTACTATGGATACTACAGTAACACCACGCTGAACACGCCGTGTGGCCCCCTGCAGTGTGGCCCCAGAGCAGGCAGCCTGCCCTACAGTATGCCCCTGGCCTACCTCTTCACTGTAGGCGCAGCCTTCTTCATCACCTGCATCACCCTGGTGTACAGGTAATGCCTCTGCCACGGGACCTGGCTCTGAGAGCCACCCAGCCATCCATCCTTTACCCATCCATCCATCCATCCTTCACCCCTTCATCCATCCTTTACTCATCTGCCCAGCCATCCTCCCTCCCTCCATCCATCCTTCATCTATCTATCTGGCTATCCATCTATCTCTCATTTATCCATGCATTTACCTATCGGTCCATCATCCATCCATTCACCCATCCGTCCACCTGTCCTTTCATCCTATCTACCCAGCCGTTTATCCACCCACCCACGCACTTATCCACCCATCTCCTCACCTGTGCATCCACAAGTGTTTGCTGTGTTATCTCAGGGCGTGTACCATGCCTGAGTCAAAGAAGCTTGCCGCTCCTAGGAGAACATAGAGCAGTGAATGGGCTAGGGCCATCCAGTGCCCTGGAGGTGTTTGTCTAGGTGTTGCAGGAGCACTGGGATGGGCAGGGAAGAAGGGGGAGAGAGAGTGCTGTAGTGGTTGGATATATGATGCAAAGGCCCTGGGGTGAGCCCAGCATTTGCCAGACCATGTCTGGTGAGAGGAGCCAGCTGTGCCAGTGGCAAATGATGCTCTGGCCCATCTTCCTTCCTGGTCTGTCTAGAGAGGCAGTGGTCCACACCAGGAGGCTGAGGGTGGCGGGCTGCAGAGGACAAGCAGGAGTGGGAGACTGCAGGGCTACCCTGTCTTCTCCCTTGGTCTCTGTGCCCCTGGACCCCTCATTACTCACCCTGTCTTTGCTTCTCCCCAGCATGTCCCACTCTTTCGGGGAGAGCTACCGGGTGGGCAGCACCAAGGGTATCCACGCCATCACTGTCTTTTGCTCCTGGGACTACAAGGTGACCCAGAATTGGGCCTCCCGCCTCCAGAGGGACAACATCTGCACCCAGCTGAAGGTGAGCAGTGGCCGCTGGCCTGGCCCCTCTGTAGCCCAGGACACCGCCAGCTGCTCAGTCCCTGAAGGGAGGCCCAGCTGGCCAGATGTGTTCCAGAGGGAAGGAGCCTGTCTCCTGCCAGCTGGCCTCCAGGGTCTGAAGCCCCTTAGGAGCATTAGGTCTGCTCCGGGCCTCCTGCCCTGAGGCCCCGGGCTTGAGCTGCACAGTGGCTACAGTAGCTTTGAGGGTAAGGACCGGGAGGAAACTGAGGCACAGAAGTGCAGTCCTTTGCCCAAGGTCACAGCACCAGGCAGGCTGATCTGGGGTTTCTGGGAGCTCCTGTGGCAACCAGGTGTCCCGCGTGCCTCAGGGGCTCCTGGTCAGCTGGAGGCCACCCACGTGGGGTTGGGCACTCGGGCCCTCCTGCGGGGCCGGGCTTCATGGCTGCTGTGGGGTGGGAAGGTGAGTTCAGCAGGGGAGGGGCTGCCGGGTGCGTGGTGTTCCACGTAGCAGGTGACAGGGAGGTGCCGGCCCGCAGGAGCTGCTGGCTGAGTGGCGGCTGTGCAAGGGTTCCCAGAGCACGTGTGGGCGGCTGCGGCGGGCAGCCGTGCTGGCCCTGGTGTGGCTGCTGTCCCTGGCGGCAGTGCTGGGCTGTGCAGTGGCCGTCCTCACCTTCTCTGAGCTCAGGATCCAGGTGTGGCAGGGGCCGGGTGAGGGAGGGAGGCTGGCTGGCCCTAAGTCACATGACCCGGGGACTCTGGCGCCCCCTCAGGCCCCGCTGCAGCTCCCCTCGAAGTCTCCTCTTTGCTCTCCCTCCTCCTGCCCAGCGCCTGGCCCTCCCGCCCTTCTTTGTTTTGCTTCTGCTCCCACTTCCTGTGGGGTTTGAACCTAGGCTTGGGGCAGTCTTGAGTCTTGGGGATGCAGGTGTGTGCTGCCTGCCTCCCTGCCATCCCCGGGATCCTCCCTGGGGTCCCTGTGTCCCTCTGGGCTAGGCTGCCCTTGGTGACCCGCAGCCCTGCCTGCTCCCTGGCAGAGCCCTGTGGTGGCCGACCAGGAGGCAGGGCTGCTGGTGCTGCCCCTGGTCATCTGCCTCCTCAACCTGGGCGCCCCCTACCTCTTCCGCGGCCTGGCCACCCTGGAGCGGCACGACTCCCCAGTGCTGGAGGTGTACGTGGCGATCGGCAGGTGTGTGGCCGAGCGGCGCTGTGGCGTGGGGCTCCCCGGCTGCCCAGGACCCTCCCTCAGCCTCATGTGCCCGCCCCTCAGGAACCTTGTCCTCAAGACGGCCATCCTGGGTGTGCTCTGCTACCACTGGCTGGGCCGCAGGGTGGCCACCCTGCAGGGCCGGTGCTGGGAGGACTTTGTGGGCCAGGAGCTGTACCGGTTCATGGTGATGGACTTCATCTTTGCGCTTCTTGACTCCCTTTTTGGGGAGCTGGTATGGAGGTGAGAAGTGCAGGTGGCCAGGCTGGCTCCGCCCACCGTGTCCTCCTGAGCGCCCTCTGGGAATGGCAGGGCTGGCCTCCCACGTGGGTGCATGGAATCCTACCCCCTAGAGGTCAGAGGCCGTCAGCGCCCCCAGAATGCTTTCAGGTGGAACGGGCCCTGTTGTTGGGCCAGAATGTGAAGCTCCCCAGTGAGGTGTGTGGTCCTGCAAGTGGCACAGCCTCAGGCTCAGTCAGGGAGAGAGGGAGGGAGCAGAGGTGTCCAGGGTAGGGAGGGCTGCAGTGGGTCTGTCCTTCCGGTGTTTCTTTTTCCTTTCTTTCTGTGTTTGGAGAATATAGGAACTTACTAATGATTTAAAAATAAGGTTTTTAGAGAGCAGGATGGCAGTCGTGTGAAGCTGCTCCTGTGTGATCAGGCGGGTGTGTCTTCTGCTCAGAAAGGAGGCTGAGATGGGGTGCTGGTGGCAGTGCCCAGCCCTTGGGTGGCCCGGAATGGCGGCTGTTTGTCCTGACATCCGGGTACCTGTGTGGGGGGGCGTTGTTACCAGCCCAGTGCCTTCCCAGGTGGGGCTGAGGGTTGATCCCCTTTCCTGTCACCCTCTTCTCAGGCTCATCTCGGAGAGGAGACTCAGGGGGAAGCCCGAGTTTGACATCGCGAGGAATGTGCTGGACCTCATTTATGGGCAGACCCTGACCTGGTGAGGGCTCCTCTGCCCCTGCCCCACAGTGCCCCAGGGAGATGAGCCCGTGGTCCTGGAGACGTGCCCCTTTCCCGAGTGGCAGCAGGTCCCGAGCGGGCTGAGGGCATGGGAGCCGTCCTGTGCTGACTCGGTCTCCGGCTACGGCCCTCCCAGGCTGGGTGTCCTCTTCTCGCCCCTGCTGCCTGCTGTGCAGATCCTCAGGCTGCTGATCCTCTTCCAGGTCAAGAAGGTAATGCCCTGTGCCGCAGACACGTGCACCTCCTGGGCAGCCCCCCAGCCCCACGGCGCCTGCCGCTCCTGGGCCCAGTCCTGGGCAGGCTGGGCTTATCTGGCTGCCAGGGCCCGTGCACCCTCAGCTGTGTGGTCAGGGTGGGGAACCAGGGACCTTGGCCACATGCTGGTCCTCTGTCTCCTTAGCTACATGGTGGGGACAGTATTCTGGCGGGGCTGAGGGAGGTGACATTTGGGAAGTGTTGGGTGCAGAGCAGGGCACAGTGTCCGCAGGGCTGTGAGCAGCAGCCCATGGAATGGCCGTGGCCTTGGGCAGCAGTGCCCCTTGTGCCTCAGTCACCCTTCTGTGGGAGAGGTGGGAGGCCTTGCTGGCTCTTTTCTGCCGTGCTTGGGTTCTGAGAGGGTCACCTTCTTGCTGTGGCTGCTGCAGTTCCGTGGCGTGAGGGGTGTATGTAGGGTCCTGAGTCCTGTCCTGGGGTCTGGCCTCAGGGCCTGCCTAGTGGCACGGCCCACCCTTCTGGCTGCTCCCTTTCCTTCTGGGAGGCCCCAGGCTCCAGGAAGGGGTGCCTGGGGGGTGGCAGTGTGGTGGCCATGGCACAGCACAGTTTTGTCCCCAGGCGAGCCTGATGGCCAACTGCCAGGCACCGCGCAGGCCCTGGCTGGCATCGCACATGAGCACCGTCTTCCTCACACTGCTCTGCTTCCCCTCCTTCCTGGGTGCCGCTGTTTTCCTGTGCTATGCTGTCTGGCAGTGAGTAGCCGGGTGCTGGGGACAGCAGGCAACGGCGCGGGTGCCATTCTGGATTTGGCAGGGTGGTGCCGGAGGGCCCATTGTTGGGGGTTCCACGGAGGGGCTGTGGTGCTGAGGTCCTGGCCCCCTTCCCAGAGTGAAGCCCTCGGACACCTGCGGCCCTTTCCGGAGCCTGGACACCATGTACGAGGCGGGCACCGTGTGGGTGCGGCACCTGGAGCAGGTGGGCCCTGGGGGCTCGTGGCTGTCCTGGCTGCACCGGTACCTGGTAGAGAACACCTTCTTCCTCTTCCTGGCATCGGCCCTGCTGCTGTGAGTTCTGGGCAGGTTGGGGCCCTCCAGACTGAAGATGCCTGGGACGGGTCCTGTGAGCTGCAGAGCGCAGGATCCTGTTCTGGGCCCTGCCCAGGCCGCCAGCCTGACTGCTGTCTCCCTCCTGTAGGGCCGTCATCTACCTCAACATCCAGGTGGTGAAAGGCCAGCGGAAGGTCATCTGCCTCCTCAAGGAGCAGATCCGAAATGTGAGTGCCTCCCTGCCACCTCCTGCTGGGCCAGCCCTGCTGTGGACAGTGACTGAGGACTGCAGGGCACCTGTACTGGAACATGGATCCTAGCCAGTACCGTTTGACAAAAAGGGGAGGTGGAAAGGGTTAGGATTTATTTAAAAATTTTTTAATTCATTTATTGCTTTTGGTTTTGGTGCTGGGGATTGAACCCATGACCTTGCCCATGCTAGGTAAACACTGTGCCACTGACTCACACTCCAGCCCTGTTTTTTTTCTTTTGAGACAGGGTCTCACTATGTAGCCCAGGGTGGCCTTGAATTTGTAGTGATCCTCTTGGCTCAGCCTCCCAAGTACTGAGATTACAGGTGTGCCCCACTGCAATCAGTTTAAAAGTTTTGTTTTTTTGTTTTTTTTTTGGTACCGGGATCGAACTCAGGTCCTTGCGCTTGCGCAGCAGGAGGCGAAACCACTGAGCTAAATCCCTGGCCCTGCTAAAACATTTTTTTAAGGAGATGAGGTAACACTTTTTACAGCGCAGTGTCAGCTTGGCACAGAGGAATGAATGGAAAGGAGAAGTCCCAGTGGGTTAGGACGCCTCTTTCCAGGGTAGCTCCCTCCGCTGGCTCCGAGTGCTGCATCAAGCTGGACTCAGGTCCTTTCCTGGCTGGTCACTTGGGCTGGCCTTCTCATGGGAGTGGGCCGGCACAGCAGGCCTGGCCTTCCCCGGTTTGTGTCCACAGGTGTAGGCAGGCTGCTGGGTGGGAACAGGCCAGTGCCAGGCACCCCTTCCGGTGTCCTGCACCTGTTCACTTGGCCCCTTTGGGGTTTCTCCACCAGGGCTGGGCCGGGGCTTCTCCCTGACACTGGCTTCAGGTCCTGGTGGAGGCTGGGGCTCGTGTGTGCTGGTGACACCCTGGGTGGACAGTCTTGGCCCCGCCCCCACTGCTCTGGAATTGCAAGGCCTGCTCTCCAGGGGTCCCTGCAGAGCAGCCCAGCTCAAACGCACCACCTGTCCCTGTCAGCAGCTCGCTGGGAGGAGGAACACCATGTTGCCGTGGAGCCCGGCTCCCCCTGGTAGGGCGTCCTGGGCAGTGCTCCTGGGCTGAGCCTGGTCACCAGGCACCCAGAACCAGTCTGCCTGGCTCTTGTGCTTCAGCGCGGACGTGCAGGAAGGTGCTCCTGGGTGCCTGCGTGCACCAGACCCTGTGCCAGACGCTCCCTGCGCTTTCCACGTTGGCTGGAGGGCCCAGAGGCCCCAGTGAACACACTGTTCCCTGGGAGGGCTGGGGTGCAGGCTGCTCATTGCTGTCCTGGGCCCTCATGGTCTCGTGATGAGGGCAGGGGCTGGTGCTGTGGTGTTGGGATGTGACACTCTGTCAGCCAGTGCTGGCTTCCTCCAGGACTCGTTGGTCCCTCAGGGCCGCTGGGAGGAATGCAGCCCTGCGAACACCTTGGATTTAGTTAGGTCTTCTCACCTTCGGACCTGAAGCCAAGCATGTGACACTATAAGCCGCTAAGCTGCGGTAATTCGTTACAGCAGCCACAAGAAATGTACACAAGCTCCCTAGCTTGTATGACACCCTCTGTCAGATGGTAGCAGTAAGGGCAGAAAGCAGGCAGTTTGCCCACAGCACAGGTTATAAGGGGCAAGGCCACTTTGAAATCTGAGTTGAGCTGGCTCTGGGGCCTTCACACAGCCAACCACAGTTCCCTTTTCACTTTGGCCACCAAGAAACTGAGAGCCACACATATGTCTACTTCCTGCCTTTTGGGTTTATTTTGGTGCCTCCTTGACTTAAGTTTTTTGTCACTTGTGATGCTGAATATTGCTCATAAGCTCCCCGCCTTGCATTCTGAAACAGGCTGGCTCTGGATGGACCATCAGTTCTGTGTTCTTCCCTTTTATCTTCTGGCCTTTCTAGGAAGGGGAGGACAAAATCTTCTTGATCAACAGGCTTCACTCTGTCTATGAGAGGAAGGAGAGGAGGAGGTAAAAGGCCAGGGACAGGCCAGGGCTGGGCGGCCACACCCTGTGGTGGGGCGGCTGCCTCCAGGGGACCTGGGAGGGGAGCTGCTGGGTGGTGAGGGAGGGGAAAGTGGGCATGAAAGCGCTCTGCCTCTCTCCAGCCTGCAGTGGGTGAGGTACAGCTGTCCCGCTGCATCCGTTCCTTCCCAGCAGAGCCCGGCAGCCAGCTCCTGGCCCTGCCTTTCTGCCTTCATGGCACCATCCCTCCCTGAGGTAAAGGCTGGGGGCAGGAGACAGCTGAACTCTGTCCGAGGCCTTGCGTGACCCAGACTGCGGGAGGACGATCTAACATCTTCCTGCTGCCTGGCACAGAGAGACAGACTCAGGTACACACTAGCATGAGCACACACACACAGGCCTGGTTCCTCCCACTGCCCCAGCCTGCCTGCTGGGGGAGCTGGCCGAGGCTGGCCCCGAGCCCATGTGTGCCAGGTTCTCACCTGTGGCCACCGGGGCTCCTCCCCAGCAGCAGCAGCTCACAGAAGCAGCTGCATGATGCTAACACTCTTGTTGCATTTGGAAGCACCTCAGAATACAATCCTTATTCAGTCACTCACTGAACAAACACCTGGGGCCCTGAGCTGGCCTTGGAGATCCCTAGGTTGAGCATGTGGCTCCTGCCTTCTGGGCTCTATGCAGTTGCTGTAAGGCCTTCTACCTCAGTTTCCCCAAGTAAAGGAGCCCAGTGAACCTTGAGCCTCAGATACACACATGCTGGTGTTGGGTGCAGTGTGAACCTGCCGAGGTCTCGCTGCTTTGGACCCACAAAGACAGCAATTTCACATGGTGCAGCTCCTTCCCCCCAGGAAACATCTGGTCAACGTGGGGGTACTGTCTCCACTTCAGCCTCCTGCCAGCCCTTCTCTGACTGCTTTCTAGGGTCTTCTTCAGCCTGGGGAGCCTGAGGATCTTGTCAGGGACTTAGAATGCATCCCCTGAGGAAAAGTGCTGGTCATGGGCCACATGGAGGGCTGGCTCTGCCTGTCCTGTTGGAGGAACACTGTTGGGTCCTCACCTAGTTCCCTCTCTGGCAGGGCTGGTAGATCTGCGGAGACTGCGACACCTGCCTTGCTCACAGATGCTGGGGACAAATGACGGAACAGCAAGAAGCTGTCTAGCTCCCCCGGAACCTCCTGGTGCCACGGCCCTTCAGGCAGAGATGTGGACCCAAGGCCCCGAGGGACACCAGGACAGTGCAGTGACTTCTTCCCCTTCTGCAGGCTGCAGCTGGGTCAAGATGGAGCTGGAAAGGTGGGGAAGTGGGCTTGGGTTCTCCCATGAGTCCTGCCCTGCCCTGCCCTGCCCGGGACTTTTATTTATTCCAATTAAATGGATTTTGCAAAATGGGTTTATCTTTTGGGAGGCTGGGCCTGGCCACAGCACCTCTCACCCCCATGGGAACCTCAGCCAGGAGCAAGCCCCATAGGCTGGCCAGAGGGCTTGGGTCTGTATGGGCAAGAGGGGCAGGTCCAGGCTGTGGCCAGGGCAGGAGTTAGCTGGTAGGTGACGCTTACTGGGGCACAGGGAGGGAAGGGCTCGGGGGATGACAAGAGGATGACGTAAGGCTTGGATAGAAGCTGGCCAGCAGGTGGCCTGGAGGTGGGCAGGGCTTGGTAAGATGCCCGGGTCCAGCCTGACAGGCTGAGCTTGAGCCTGTGAGACGCTCTGAACCCCAGGCTGCGGGAAGAGGGCACAGGGAGGAGTGGTGTCTTCACACCCACTGCCCGAGAGGGGTTAGGCCCCACCATTCCCCCCCGGTGGAAGCAGGTGTGGCCATTAGCCATGCCCTGCTGGCTGTGCTCCCCGACACTGTTCCTGCCTGAGGTCAGTCCCAGTGGGTGCTCCTGTGTGCTGCAGACATCTAGAGGTAGACGCCATCTGCTGACACGAGCCCTGGTGCTCACTGATGTACGCTCGGCTTTTGAGGGCTTGCTGTTGGCAGTGGAGAACTTTCCTGGCCCAGCATGGCTGATCCAGCCAGGGGTGCTTGGGACCTTTGCAGGCTGCTGGTGCTGATGCTGGCACCACTGTTGCTGGGCGAAGCCCAGTGGGCAGTCCAGAAACTGAGTGGCTGACCTGGGGCTTGGGGCCAGGCCCACTAGATGCCTTCCTCTTTGTTTTGTTTTGGTTTTTTTTTTTTGGTACCAGGGATCGAACTTGGGAACTTGCACTTGAGAGGCAGGCGCTGGAACCACTGAGCTAAATCCCTGGCCCTTTTTGGTCTAGATGCCTTCCTCCTGGGGGTGGATATGCAAGGGTCATTGCTGGTGTCGTCAGTCTTGGTTTCTGTCACCTGCCTTGACTCCATGTGACCAGGACAGAAGCAGAACCCTCCTAGGAAGTTTTGTAGAACTGCTGTCTGCAGGGCCAGGCTGTAGCTCCCACCAAGTTCACCTCCCAGGAATCTGGTGTCGCTGTGAGGGGCAGTGCAGAGCTTTCACACCCACATCAGCGGGGAGCAGAGGAGAGGATCCTGATGATGGGGGGAGGGGGGCCCTCAGCTGTTAGTGCAAGGCCTCAGGAGCAAAGGTGAGGTTCCCTGGAGCTAGATGGGTCTGGGCATGCCCTGTGACCTAATTCTGGTTCTCCACTTCATGGGGCCACTGCTGCACACGACACAGCTCCTGTAAGCACCTAGCACCATGCCAGCAGAGGTTTCCTATTTTTTGAGGTGCGGCACCCCCAAGACTGATTTCCAGGTAATTCAACACGGGCCATGGCCGAGAAGCTCTGCTCTAGGCAACAGTCAAAAAGGCGGCCCTTCAAGCCTGAGGCTGCCCACCTTGGGCGTCTGAAGTGTGCTTTGGGTTTCTCTGCAGGTGTAGAGCTGGGCTTGCTGGCCAGGCATGTTCCAGGCGTGGCAGCAGCAACTCCAGGAAACAGCACAGCTGGGAAGTTACTGTGTTTCCCCCATGGTCCTGTGTTGATTTCCTTGGTCCATCCAAAGGTTCTGTTCTGGCAAAGAATCTTGAAATGGCCACTGACTCCATCTTCCTTTCCCCTATGGAAGAGAGGCTAGGCCCTCAGCATCTCTATCCTCTTTATGTCCATAGTTGGGGCTGGCCGACTCCCCTTTCTTCCAGCCTCTTCTTTGCTCTGACAGCCACCTCTGCACATCCTGCCACCACTAATGAGCATCCTGCTGTGAGCCTTCACCATCCTTCGAAGCTGCTGCCAGTCAGTCAAGACAGAGTGTAGCTCTGAGCCTATGCTTTCCTTGATTCCAGACACCAGGCTTCCTTTTCACCTGTGGGTACCAGGAGTCCCCCAGTCCAGTCCCGAGGCCTTCACATGGGGTCCTCACTCTGGGCCTTGGCTTATGTTCTGCTCCCCGTCCCATGCTCCCACTCAGAATCCAATCCAGTCTACCTCATGAAGCCTGCTGCACCTCTGGCATCCTTCAGGTGCTAAATTTGTTCTCCAGGGAAGAGCCAGTGTATCTGTGCCCCTGCCCACTCCAAGCACAGATTAAAGCCCTGCCAAAGGTCTGCATAGAGCTGAGTCGTGCTCTCAGGGTTGTGGCAATTTATGATGCCTAGTGCACCCTGCCGTTCCCGGTTTTTTTCATTCTCCTCTAGTTGTTAATTTCTTCTTGTATCATGGCCTTCTCTTCAGCGCATTTCTTCTCCACTTTCAGAGGTGGCTGAGAGCCAGCCTCTTCCATATAGGGTGCCCTTGGCCAAGGGGTCACACCAGGCAGGGGTCTTTTGTCCCCAGATGCTCTAGAATACCAGTAAGTGGAAACTCTGACATGGAACATAGTCAAGGTCCTGGCACCTGTTCTAGGATGGACCTGAGAAGACAAAGCAATGTTTCCATTTCTCGTTGCCACTGGAGTTCTGTAGTGAGAATGTTGCTTCTTCCAGCATCTAAGTTCCACTGTGCTGGTCTAAGAGGTTTGGCAGAAATTAGCTGAAGTGATTCCATAAAACAAAAATATCTAGGAATCCAGGTGTGGTGGTGCACACTTGTAATCCCAGCATTCTGGGAGGCTGAGGCAGGAAGATGGCCGATTTGAGCCCAGCCTGGGCAACTTATGGAGACCTTGGCTCAAAAATAAAAGGGCCAGGGGGCCAGGGATTTAGCTCAGTGGTTCTGCTGCCTGCCTTGCAAGCACAAGGTCCTGAGTTTAGTTCCCAGTAGGAAAAAAAAAAAAAAAAAAAAAAAGGCCAGGGATGTAGCTCAGAGTGAAAGCCCTGGGTTCTGTCCCCAGGATGGCAAAACAAAAACTAGGAAACACAAAGATCTTCATTACTCTCTTTCCCCATTATTTCTGATGTCCACAGTGGGTCCTAGGTGAGAGCTAGTGGCGTCCTCCTGAGTGCCCCAGCAGACTCGGGCCCACCTGCTCCCGCTGGCCCAGACAACTCGGTCCTCAGAATAAGGTTCAGATGGGCCAATGGGAGTGGAAAGCTTGGAAGCTCTGATTAGCAAAATTTAAATGTTAACAGCAAAACTGCAAAACAAATGATGAAATTTTATCAACCCAAACTGAGATGAAGTATATGTGTAAACTCTGAGGACATAACTAGAGATGGGGCGTTTGGCACATACAGCAGGATGCCTCCCAATTTCAGCAAGGACTGACACTGTCTTTTTTTTAGACAGGGTCCCACTATGTAGGCCAGGTTGGCCTTGAATTTACAGCAGTCCTGCCTCAGCCTCCAGAGTGCTGGGATTACAGGTGTGCACCACTACTATCTACAGGTGTGGGATTACAGGTGTGCCTGGCTACTATCTATGTTTGAAAAAATAAGACACATTAATTTGAACAGCCAAGAAAAAAATTGCCATTTATTAAGATTCAACAAAGCGTTGTACTTTTAAAAGCAACTTTCGGTGCATGTTCTTCAACAATCACATTCTATGAAGAAAAATATTAAGAGCCACAAATTTGTTTTTTAATCTCAGAGTTAGGCATCTTAAATTCAAAATAAAAGGTCAAAACAAAAAGGAAAAGAAAAAAAAACCCCCAACAAAAAGTGAAAACAACAGATTCTTCTATCCCCAATTTTAAAACATCAGGAATTTTTCTACAACTCAGTGCTAAACGGCAGCATGGCAAGCTGTATGTCTGGGTGTGCACGCACGTACACGCACATATTTGATGTACAGACTCAGGTATGTGTACATCAAATATACAGAGTGCATGTAATGGCAATGAGATGCAATCACTCTGAGGAAGGTTTGTTAGCTAAATACACTACGAAACTTGAGAAAAACGTCTTGAACCCAGTTTGTGCATAGTTCATGATCCTCTATAAAACCAGCTTTTGTGAATCTGCAATCTCGCAGGACTTTTCTTTCTTTTTTTCTTTTTTTTTGTTTTGATAAAACCATTAAAAAGCTAATTAAAAAAAATGTAATGCACAAGTTTCCTGATCAAGCAGGCAGGGAGCACAATGTTCATATATATTTTTAAAAACATACTTGAGGGTATGTTATTCCATTGTCTTTCGTCCTTGCAAAACAAAACATTGATCATTTTTAAAACATAAAGCAATTTTTAATATATAAAGCACTCTTCAAACATCTATTTCTTTTGAGTCCATTATTTGGTAAATATGTAACTGCTACACATTAGAGATTAGGTATTTTTCTTCTTTGTGGTTTTTAAAAATTTTTTTTTCTTTCCTTTTTTTTTTTTTAAAGTTTTTGTTTTTTAGTAACATCTTCAGTGCTAGGAGTTGGGCTTAAAAATACATGAAATGGTGTGGAGCTGCCCTCGGGAGCCCTGGCTTTCCTGAGAGCGCGTCCGGCATGTGCAAGACAGTGACCACCACGCCTCGTCACTGTGACAGAGGGGCGAGAACAATCGACAGAGTCCACAACGATGACCGAAGGGGGACAGCACTGTCCAATCCCAGAGCTCTGAAGTAGCGCATCTGCATTCTGAAAATAGGTTTCTTTACGACGGAAGTTTTTTCTGTTTTTTTTTAATTCCTTTTTAAATTTTTTTTTTAAATTTCAAAGTCTAAAGGAGAAAAAAAAAGGTCTGTAAACAGGTGGGAGCCGAAACAGGCTCCTCCAAAAGCAGTCACAACCCATGTCCAAGTGCTTGCTTCCGCCCAGTCCTTTGGCGGAGCCATCCATTCTTTACAAGTATCTATGGCCACAGTTCAGCAACAGTTTTTTCTCTTTAACTTTATATCCCAAATGGAAAAATGGTGCAATACTCTGGTAATAATTTTCTTGCATTAGTCCACAATAAAAAGCTGCTAAAGGTAGATATACATATTATTTCTCCAGAGATATACACTGTAATTTTAAACGCAGTTAACAGAGTCCTTGAGTAAACATTTACACATGAATTGTCACCAGCCCTGTCCTGTGAATTCGCTTTAATGTTTAGGATTAGCTAAAGGAAGGGCAGGGACACCTCAGTGCAAAGTTAGAAGCTAATAATAACAAACATTTGACCAATGCGCCAAGAAAAGCATATACTGAAAAGGGAAAACCCACAGTTAAATCTCTCACACACACAGGAAGCGTGCACCATGCAGGAGCACACACACACACACTTGCATACTGTTGCACACACACGCACACATAGGCTATGAACTTAGAAATTTTCCCTAGAGCCTGTTTCTGTGTACTGATGTCAACCTGGAAGTGTAGAATTAGACTTAGAAAGTGTTCACATTTCATTATTGGCCTGCTGGATTCAAGTATTTGCATGTTTGATATGTCTTTTTTTTTTTTTACACTTTTAAAAAATATTTTTTTGGGATAAAAAATGACATGAAAAAGTAATGAAATAAGGGTAATGTGCATAGGCGGCTTCGGGGAGTGGAGAGTGATGGCAGAGGTGCCCGCTCAGCTCTGCGCCCGAGCTCCATGCCCCGCCGCCTCTGGTAATGTGCATAATCGTCACAGGCTCACTTTAAATAGGCTTCACGTTTCCCTCCCTCCCTCCCTTGCCCGCGATAAAATAACCCTTTCCAGCCCACAATCTGAAAAGTGCCCTTCATGATAGAACTATTCTAAGCAGCTTTTATACTTAAAAACTCAAAATGACAACACACCATACAAATGTAAGACGACACAAAATAAAAAGCTATGAGGAACATCCTGTCGTTAGCATGTGACACTGACCAAATGCAGCCCGCACTGTTTCGGGAACAGTTCACAAGGGCCACAGTGAAGGTTCATCTTCAAAACTGGACAGAGGTACTCAAAAGGGCTGCAGGCTGCTTGTCTGGCAGGACCGCAGTGCGCCAGGCCTTGGGAACGAAGGTTGCCACTCCTCCTCGCCCAAAGGACGCCTGTGGCCCTAGATGGACTCCCCGCTGAGCAGGTCCCCTGGCAGCAGCGTATTCAGCGGGGTGGGGCTGCCAATCAGCCTGCCATCATCGGTGCTGGGTGGGCCCCACAGGCTGCTCGAGTATTGGGGGCCCCCGCCCCAGAGCAGCTCGCTGCTCCCCTTGCTACCCAGGCACGGGGCACCCCAGTGGGTGGCATCGCTTCGCACCAGGCCATGGGTGCTGCCTGAGGCACCCAGCCGAGGCTGGCTGCTCCCGCTGCTCGGCTGCCAGCTGGAGGTTGGTGGCAGGGCTTGGCCTTGGGCCAGGAATCGGTTCACTTCTTCTTCACCTGCAAACTCGGCCAAGATGGTAGTGTTTCCCAGCACACACCTGCAAAGCAAGAAGTCAGGTGAGTGCATCACTGAGTCCTGAGGCTAAGCCACTGGGAGAGGCACAGCCCAAGGATTTCCAGCCACAGGCCACCCAGACCCAAACCAGATTATAAATATTCTCCTCACTTTTTTGAGACAGGGTCTCGCTATGTAGTCCAGGCTGGCCTCGAATTTGTGGTGATCCTCCTGCCTCAGCCTCCCAAGTGCTGGGATTCCAGGTGTGTGCCACCTTGTCTGGCTTCTCCTCGGCATGAGTGTACAAGTGGAGGGACAACATCCACCACACGAGGGGCCAGTCAGCTCAGAGCAATTTGCATGCTGTGCTAGAATTAGGAAGGACTAATTTCTAGGCCCCACTTCTCAGTTCACTCTGTATGTACTCTGTGTTGGAGCACCCTTTACTGAGGCAGAGGGGCTGGCTCTGAGGAGTGCGGCTGACCCTGTGTGCGCTTTTCCAGGATAGAGGAGGTCTGCTTTCTGTCACCGGCCTGGCAGGTGCTCTCTGGGGAGGTTTTTCTCATAGTGGACGTAGTCACAGCAGCTTAGCAGCTGCAGTAATCAGCTCATCCTGAGACTCTTGTGCTGGCCTGGATGATGCCACCCCAAATACCTATCCTGAAGTCCTAACACAGTGCTGCTGACTGTGACTGTATCTGGAGACAGGGTCTTTTTTGTTTTTTTGGTACGGGGATTGAACTTGCGACCTTGCACTTTGAGGCAGGTGGCGGAACCACTGAGCTAAATCCCCGGCCCGGAGACAGGGTCTTCAGAGAGGTGATGAAGTTAACTGAGGTCACGTGGGCAGCCCTAATGTAACATGACTGGCACTCTTATATGAGGGGATCAGGATGCAGACACACTCAGAAGGCCGGCCACGTGGAGACAGGAGGACAGCTGTCTATAAGCTGAGAAGAGTGGCCTCAGAAGGAATGAACCCTCCTGACACCTTGATCCCAGGCTTCCAGTCTCCAGAACTGTGAGAAGACCAATTCCTGGGCTGGGCAGGGTGGTGCACACCTGTGATCTCAGCACTCCAGAGGCTGAGGCATGAGGCAGGAGGATTTCTGTGAGTCTGCCATGTACAGTAGTCTGTGCCCAGGCTAAGGGGGCTCAGTGCCCCAGGGTACCTAGAGTATTCTGCCTGCCAGCTGGCACCCACACCTGTGAAGAATGAGCCAGCTCTTTGTTCTTCCTGAGGTATCAGTGCTCTAAGCAGAAGGCCAGCCTGGGCTGCATAGTGAGTTTAGGGCTAGCTCGAGCTACAAGGTGAGACCCTATCTCAAAAAACCAAACCAAACCACGCCATGCCACGCCACGCCAAACCAAACCAAACCAAACCAGCCCAATTTCTGCCATTTATTTAAGGCACAGTCCTGGACCACTGTGTGGGCAGCCCCAGGGCACTTGTACAGCCCCCATGCCAGCTCTGGGGTGCTGAGGAGAAAACATACATGTGCAGAGACTTCTGGGCCTTAGCGGCTTCCTCCTTGGAGCTGTAGCGGACTACGGCGTTGCCTTGGGTCAGGTTCAGGTGGAATGTGATGAGAGGCCCATGCTGCAGACACAGCGTCCGCAGGGTGGAGCCATCAATCTGATGGAAGAAGCACAGGGCACCCACGTTTCCCTCTAAGTTTGTCTACAACATTCTCCAAAATCAGTATCCAAATTGGATCCACTAAACACTAAAAAAATATCTTTCTTTAAAATGGCTAATAGATAGCTTTAAGGTACTAATGTTTGATACTACCATGACCAGGGACGTACCCAAAATGGTGGCTACTTCAGTTACATTTCCTGAGTTAAACTAATCAAAGCAGGCGAAAAATTCCATTTTGGGTCTGCTCTCCTCTCACCAGAGAACATCCTAAGGAGCTTGAGGCTTGTGAAAGGCACCATGGCCAGGCAGCAGGGGATATGGCCGGGCCTGGGAAAGGTGACTACTGGCTGGCCACACAGTCTACTTGGCCAAACCACTCTTGAGTAGTATACAGTGCTTCCTCGGTTCACAAACTCAATTCTCTCCTTGATTCTGGTTGCAAACCAAACTGGATGAGAACCAAATCAAATTTCCCTATAAGGTCAAAATTGATCCAAACCATTAAATTTGATTTAGTTCTCATCCAACTCAGTTTGCGACCGGAATTGTGGAAAGAATCAAGTTCATGAACTGAGGCACCACTGTAGTTTTTAGCTAAGCAGCCCTGTTACAAAGGTATACTTTTCAGCCCGTAAAGGGTCAGTAAAGTGAGAACATGGTAAGAAGGAGCCCCCTGGCTGTGTCTGCCTGCCACTGCCTGGGCAGCTCTGGCACTCACATGCTCCCTCCGCACTTGCCTGTGTAACCCCAGACCCTGAAAGAGGGTGCCTGCCATGTACAGTAGTCTCTACCAGGGGCTAAGGGGCTCAGTGCCCCAGGGCACCCTCAGTATTCCTCCTGCCAGCTGGCACCCATACCTGGGGTGTGAGGTTGCGAAGAACGAGCCAGCTGCTTGTTCTTCCTGAGGTGTCAGTGCTCCAAGCAGAACCTGCACGACAAGCCCAGGGGACAACAGCTCAGTTGACAAGCTACACAGCAGTCAGGTGGTGTGGCCCTCTTCCAAATTTCTAATCTTACCTAACATACACAGCAGGCTCTGAGCTTTTCAAACCTGTGGCAGCTCTGATAAACCCAAATCTCATGATCCCTGGCGTCCCTGCCCACAGCAACCCTGACTACCTGGACATTCCCACCAGCCCAGGAGGCCCATGCCTTCCCTTCTGTGCTGTGGGACAGATGAGGATCACCCGGGAAGTTCTGCTTTCCATCCTGTCCCACTCTGAACCCACCCTGACAGCCAACACACTGACGTTCTGCTTGTAATTGAGATGAAGCAAACTCACAAGGGTTGCTCCTAAAGGTTGAAGTGGTTATTTTCAAATGCTCTCTTGCTGACTGAAAGCTCGTTTCTCAACCACCCCTTTCGTCCTAGCCCTCAGGCTTCAGCATTGCACTGGGCTTGTTTTACTTTTGGCCGGGAAAGTCTATGTTCCAATGAGGTCTTGTAGGAAAGCACACACACGGGGGAGAAGTCAAGACCCCAGTGCTGGCTGATGGGAGTGGCTAATCGGGCCTTTCTGAGGGTCTAGTATGTGGAGGCAGCATGAGAGGACTGGCACAGGGGCTACCTAGGACCATCTAGCCCAGGCCCACCTCGGGGAGCTACAAACCTGGGGCAATGCTGAATACACCAGGTTTGGAACTCAATGCCCTGCCAAGTCCGGGGTGCCCAAAGAAGATGATAAGCACATCTCCTAAGTGATGAACACAGCAGTTCCGAGTGCCCCTGTGCCCATCAGAGGGGGAGGAAGGAGCTTACCAGAGGAGTAGGAGCTGGTCCAGCCGAGGGGGCTGGCGCCCCAGGTGGAGGAAGGCTTGGGATTGGCTAGCCCTGGTGGGGGCCTGGTGGGTGCAGTAGTGTTCCTGGGCACCTTCCACAGCTCGTGAGACAGAGAGGCTTGTGTGTGGGAGGCTGGGCCAGAGGACCAGGTCGATTTCATGTCTGACAGTTTACCTAGAGGGCAGAGAAAAACATATGCATTCTGTGGACAGAGGAGAAGTGAGTGGTTGGTCTGGTGAGCCAGCAGAGCGTTCTCTGGTACTAGCAGCCTGGGACAAACAAAGAAACACCAGTAAGGTGCCTCAGAGGAAGGCCCATGGATATGGTCTATTTTTGCTGACTTTTTTTTCCCAGATGAGGCCTCCCTATATTGCCCAGGCTGGTCTTAAACTCCTTGGCTCCAACGATCCTCCCATCTCAGCCTCCCAAATTCTGGGACTAGAGGAGTGTTATCATCACCATGCTATGTTCTCTCTTTAATTTTTGCTCAGACATAGTCTGCATGTCCAATATAGGCCGTGCCGGTATTTCTGACATTTCTATTAATCTTCTAACGTTTTCCACCTATAAAACAGCATTTCTGAAGTTCAATGTTGAAGTTAACTTACCAGCATAAAGCATAACAGATGCACATTTTTCTTTCCTTTTTTGGGGGGGGGGTGGTTATTTTGAGACAGGTCTAGGTATTTAGTTCAGCCTGGGCTTGAACTTATTATGTTGCCCAGGGTGGCCTTGAACTCACAGCAATCCTCCTGCCTCAGCTCCCCAGTGCTGGGATGACATGCGTGCACCACCATGCCTGGCTCTTCTTTCCTCTTTTTTTTTTTTTTTTTTTTAGTACCGGGGATTGAACTCAGGACCTTGCGCTTGCGAGGCAGGTCTAGGTATTTAGTTCAGTCTGAGCCTTGTCCCTGCCTGCAGGGGTGCAGGGGCACCTGGCCTGTCCTCAGGACAGCTGGGCTCCTTGTGTTGAAGCTCTGCTTCAATAGTGGAGACTGAACCCGGAGGCACTGAGTTTCTGTTTTTCAGCCACTCCTCCTCCATCCACCTCTCCACAAAGCTGCTGCATCAGCCGGGGGAGTGCAGTGTTGGACAGGAAGGGTGGTGTGTATTCACCAGGACTTCCACGCAGCCTGCATGTGTGGCTGGAAGCCACTCCCTTTAAATAGCCAGAGAAGCAAACACCTTGTTCCCGCAGGTCCAGATTTAAGTGGAAGCCACACGAATGTTTGGGGAAGGATGTTTGAGGCCTCTCTGGAAGCCTGGCTCTTTCACACAATAAAGTGCTGAAGATAAAACTGAGACCACCCTTTAGTGTTTTCCTCTAAGTGTGGCTCAGGGGTAGAGAGCCACTGCTCCCCTTCTCATCTCCAAACCTCAACTGTTTGTTTCCTAACTTCACAGCTCAGCCAGCACTTCTTGCTCTGGATCCTGAAGTCTGACGGATGGTATACAAAAAGTTAGCACCAAGATTTGTGCCAGGGAAAAACCCTGAGGACAGATTTCATTCATTTTAGCTTGACTTTTTATAGACAGGGAAAACAGACTGAGATGGACGAGTAAGGGTCAATTCCTTTTCAGTTTTGAGGTTTCAAGTGGAAACCTGTTTATTAAAAAGCTGAAAGTTAATATTGTGATTTGATAACACAATGCTTAGAAAGTTTCTTTGGACTTCAGGTTTTTAGATGAGAGATACTCAACCTATATGTCATGTTATACCATTTTTAAAAGTGTCGTGTTGGTACATTTGATTTTCAGATAAGGGACGTAAAACCAACAGAGTCTGTTCCAATAGTCTACAATCAGAAATGCTTTGAAGCCAGGTATGGTGGTGCATGCTTGCAATCCCAACACCCTGGAGGCTGAGGCAGGAAGACTGCTGCGAGTCCAAGGCCAGCTTGAACTATACAGTGAGAGACTGTTTCAAAAAACAAAGCACAAAAACCCCACAAAAAAACCAAGCACGAAACACAAAAAACAAACAAAAGGCTCTGAAACCTGAAACACTTCTCATCTCAAGCACTGTGGATAAGGGCTATTTAGTCTGTGTTAGTACATGAAGCAAAAGCATATATCTCCTATCAGTCTCCACTGTCCTCCTCTGTACTGCCAGGTCCTGGAAAAGGCACCCCTCACCTGTGTCTCACAGCCCACACTGCACTGGAATCCGGAAGGTGACTGGAGACTCCCACAGGGGCAGATGGGATGGCCTCATCCTTACCTCCAGTCTTTTCTTTTTCCCTGTACTGGGGATCAAACTCGGCTTTGCACTTGAGAGGCAGGCGTGGCACCACTGAGCTAAATCCCTGGCCTGTCCTTACCTCCACTCTTGAGGAGGTAGCGGTTGACGTCCTGGATGGTGGTGTTGATGGTAGGCCCGGTGGGGACACTGCCAGGAGTGACATCAGGGTCGTTCTCAGGGTCGATGTTCTGAAGCCCTTTCCATGGCACTCCAGGATGGAACTCTGTTTATGGAAACCAAAGCGAGGCTGCATGCTAGAGAACCTTCACACTGCTCCATGGCATCTAAACATGCCTTTTGCCTGTTTGTGGAAATTTTAATTATCTGGCAATTAAATTCACAGGTACAGTTTAGACTCTTTCATTAAAACAACCATTCCTTTGGAACAAACAAGAGCCAGGTATCACAGCTATCATGTTAAGATCTGAATGTTTTTCTGGGATTGTATCTAGGGCCCATTCCCCACCCGGAGCCACCCCTTCTTCTCCTTATGTAGAACTAAGGGGACCACAGGGCCATGTTTGATTTCGGCCATAACCCAAACTGATTTGGCAATGGATTCCCAATGAAAATGCCAGAGCTGTGAGCCTAATGCTTCTAGAACCCGTGGGGCAGATCCTGGCTCCTCTCAGGTCTAACCTAGATCCTAGGCGTGAGGTAGCCTCTAATTTGCCATGGTACAGAAGTGCCATGGGGTCTTACCTGGGGGCCAGTTGATGCTGGAACCATTTGAGATTTTATCACTGTCAGATTTGGCACGTGACCAGCTATGGGGAACAGCTACAGGAGGACTGGCTGGTGACTCACTATTCTGGATTAAATCGTACCGGCCATAGGAGTCATCAATGGAGGACTTACCTGGAGGCCCAATGCTTAGACCTCCAGGGATAGCACCTACAGGACAACAGAAAACAGTAACCAAGTGAATGCTCTGCTTATGACACTGGGGCCCTGGAGTCTTTCCTTCAGGTCTAAGTCCTTTTTCCTTTCAGTTACACAAACTGTCAGGCTTGACCTGTCTGAGATTCTCCAAGAACCAATGACTATTTCAGTTACAAAAGCTCATCCCTGGAGGAGAAAAACCCTTGAAGAACCATTTTAGTTTGTCAGTTTGGAAATCTTTATAGAATTCATATTCATACCATGGGGAATGACCCACAATAAACCTTTCTGGGGTTGTGAGTCTCTGGTTAGTTGACAGTGGCTGTTGTTTCTGCATCTTTTCCTCCCACGGCTGGCTCCCCTTACTGTGGAAGAACAAACTGGGCATCAAATCTAAGGACTACACCAACCAGCTCATGTGATGGGTGCTCTCCTGCCCAGTAGTGTCCTGAGGTCACATGAGGATTTTTCAGAGTTAACTCTTAGGAAGGAAGAACTTTTAAACTGCATCTTATGTCAAGAGGGAACTATGTAACTGTTAAATTTCCCGTTTTTTTTAATGTTACCAGGATGTTCAAAACTAAATTTAATGCTTAATAGTGAGATTGCATCCTACAGTTAGCATTTTTTGCTTCTTCCTTTCTAAGCAACTCACTTTCCACTTGTGCTTTATCTTTTGCAGTGCTAGGGATCAGATTTAGGGCTTCACACGTATTAGGCAAGTGCTCTACCACTGAGCTATACTGCAGCCCTTTTTTATTTTTATTTTTTTGTTTTCAGACAATGTCTAAGTTGTCCAGACTGGTCTTGAACTTGAGATCCTCTTGCCTCAGAGTTCTGAGTAGCTGGGGCTACAGGTATATACTACTACCTATGTCTTATCATTTATTGAAAAAAAATTCTTTTCAGAAGACTAATTGTTTGTTGGTGAATACAGATAGAAAAAGTATATAGGTTATGACTTATATGCTTTGTTGCTCTGGGACATTTTCTTTTCTTCTGGTACTGGGGATCGAACTCAGGACCTTGTGCTTGTGAGGCAGGTGGCAGAACCACTGAGCCTAAATCCCCAGCCCTCTGGGACATTTTCAGTAATTTCTGAGTTTGTATGGTTGAAGTTCAAGAAGTTTGGTCCTAAACTTGGCACAATGGTACAGATCTATAACCCAATCCCAGCTACTTGGGAGGTTGAGACAGGAGGGTTGCAAGTTTTAGGCCAACCTGGGCAACTCAGTGAGACAACGTCTCAAAATAAAATAGTCCAGGAAAAAAAAAAAAATGGTTTTAAGTATAGCTCAGTGGTAGAGCACTTGGCTAGTATGAAGTGCTAGGTTCAATACCCAGTACACTTATTTTTTGGTACTGGGGATCAAACTCGGGTCCTTGTGCTTTCGAGGCAGGCAGCGGAACCACTGAGCTAAATCCCCTGCCCAGCGCCTAGTACACTTGATCTTAGCCAAAAGGCTGAGAAGGGATTCAATGCCTAGTACTGTGAAAAAAGAAAAAGAGTTTGGTCCATGACCAGTTGAGATCTTACGTACTCCGTGATGGAATGGAATGTGTGGATGTGTGCATTTCTGTGGACGTGTAATTGAACCCAAGGCCTTCACACTGAGCTGTATCCTCAGCTCTGTTTTTCACTTTTTTATTTTACCTCAGCTCTGTTTTTCACTTTTTTATTTTGGGACCAGGTCTCACTAAGTCCCTAAGTTGCTCAGGCTGGCCTCAAAGCTGAAATCCTCTTGCTTCAGCTTTCCAGAGCACTGTGACTACAGGCATGCAAATGGTTTTTAGAATGACATATTTTTAACCTAGCTCTCAGCACTGGATTTGGAGAAATGTATAGAATAAGTGCACTACACAAAGGGATAATCATTATGAAAACAGTAATAACCCCTCTGTGGCCATGCCAGTCAAGACGTACCATGCTTGCTGGGATTCTGATCCATAGGAGAAGCAGCACTGGACAAGCTGTCCATTGAATTGGGATGTGTCCACTGAGGGAGGCGTGACTGGGACTGAGATGGGTCCTTCACTGACAGGCCGCTGGTCATGTCCATGCTGTTGACATTCATGTTTGAGTTCAGTCCAGCTGAAAACAGAGACACTATCAGGACAGGCCAGACCCTCCTCTCGGCCATCTTGTTCCAGTCTTCATTCACGGTCAAATACTTTTAACTTTTGATGCTGGTGAAAAAATACCTGTTTTAAAAAGAACTATTTTTCCTGAAGTAAGGTGAAAATGCTAATGGTCTTCAATTAAGTCTGACCCACGATTCTCCTCTTTTTTATGTTTCAGTATATATAAACACAGTCCTGAGGTTCTCAATCATATCTGATTTTTTCTTTTTTTTGGTACCGGAGATTGAACTCAGGACCTTGGGCTTTCGCGGCAGGCACAGTGCCAATGAGCTAAATCCTTGGCGCCCAATCAGAGTCCATGGAGCAACATAGTGAGTCCAAACAATGAGGAAAGTCCTCATGGTCCATTGTAGGAATCACCAGACCAAGAAACTTTTCTAGTGTGCTAATGCACTGTCTACAGAAGAGGCTGGTCAGGACAACCGGGTTCTGCCTTAGTACATGTATGTTACAGAAGTCTGCCCTGGAGGAGTTCATGAATTACACATTCAACAGCCTTTAACAAACTGACCTACTGGGGAGTGTGGGTGTTGCCCCTGGCCACCAGGCAGAAGGGGGAACTCCTGGAGATCTGCCAAGGATCAGCACTACACTAGTTGATGAAGAAAAATGATGATGAGGACCATGACAAAAAGACTGAAGCACACATCAGTTGCTTAGGTAGACTGCTCATGGGAGCTACAGCCAACTTGTTAGGAGGTGGGGTGTGGTCAGAAGAGGTGGCTCACTCGGAGTGTGACCTGGAAGGGTCTTCCTCCCTGGCTTTGCCCTTTGTTCTCTGCTTCCCCAATACCATGACATGAACAACTTCTCTTCTATGTCCCTCTGGCATACTGTCCTGCCCTGGAGCCAGCTGACCACGTCCTGTAAACACGAGCCAACTAAACCTTTCCTCCTTTAAGTTGCAAGTGTCTGGTATTGTGCCTCAGCATGAGAAAGTGACTAAGATAGTAAACATTCCTACTTTATAGGTGGAGAAACTGAAGCAAAGAGCAGTCAGGCAAGCTTCAATTAGCAGCGGGCCAGTCTACAGTGGGCCGGGACTCAAACCCAGGCACCTAATCAGGTCTTAATCACAAGATGCTTCTGTTTCTTCAACACAGTAATGGATGAGACAGTAATGAAGGGACAATACCATCAGTCACTTACCGCTTCATACTAAAGACATACATATTTGTTACCTGTCAAGCTGGATGTGATCACACAATGAGAAAGTGTCATAGTGTACTAGCATTCTGGTTTTGTTTTTGGTACCGGGGATCAAACACGGGTCCTTGCGCTTGTGCAGCAGGCAGCGAAACAACTGAGCTAAATCCCCAGCTGTACTAGCATTCTTGAGAGAAGTTATCAGTTGATGCCAAGTTTGCTGTTGTTTAAGCAGACTTTGCCCTTATTAGAGATGTATTTTCCTAAGCTACTGATTCCCTTGGTCCATATCTGCAGGCTCTAATAGCAATCAGGAGACAAGCCTGAAGGGCTTTCCTAGCTTTTGGTGACATTTCTCCTCTACTGTGCCTCCTTGGGCAAGCCTGTGTGACCTGCAGGGGACTCCATTGTCTCCTAAGATCTATAGGTTCCATGTGGTGGGTGTGCTCCAGCAGGCCAAGTCCTGTGTGTGTGTGTGTATGAGAGAGAGAGAGAGAGAGAGAGAGAGAGAGAGAGAGAGAGAGAGAGAGA